GGAGGTTGGTGAGTGTCCCTCAACACCAACCACTACTGGTCTCCTTGAGGCTGACTTATTGGTAGTATTCTTCTTACACTGGCTCCTCATATGTCCTTGCTCTCCACAATTTCAACAGCCTTTCTGGGTAGCAGCATTTCCTGCTGTGGCATCTTCCCTGTGCTGAAGTTGCCAGCATTGAGCTCTCTTGTGCCCAGGTTTATTACAGTGCCAGCAAAGTCCATCAAACTTCTCTGAAAGCTGACCTTTTCTGGCCTTGAATCCAGATGACTGTACCAACCTTGGTACCTCTGTGCTGGACTTAACGTAGGATTCAAATTCAAGAGCTCTGGCCATTGCATCCTGCATGGTAGAGGGGTATGCTTGCTTCACTTGTATCTTTAGTTGTGGACTGTCCAAGGCATCTACAAACTGATCCCTCAGCGACAACTTGAGGAGATCGGGTGGTGCAGTTGGGTAGGCCTTCCGTGCCATGCATTCCAAGTCCTGTGCCAGCTCTTGCAGGCTCTCCCCTTTAGCACGGACTGTCGTCCTAAACCTAGCCCTGTAGACTTCTGACTGATTTTGGGTTCCGTACCTGAGTTCTAGAGCCGCTACCAGTGCTTTATAGTTGTGTCTGTCGTCTGCTGACAACTGTCCAAGTATTTCCAGTGGTTGTCCCTTCAAGCTCATTGCCAGGAAATTCTGCTTTCTGCTCCTCTGTCCACCCATTCATTTCTGCCAGTAGCTCAAATTGTACTCTATATGCTTCCCCCAGTGCCTTCCCATTGAATTCCTGTGGCTTCCTTCATACTGGATCACCTGTATTGCTGACATTCATATCTGGGATGTGGCTTCTAACAGGACTGAAGATGTCTGCATTAGGGTTTAGCTGCAGGGTCTGGAAGGGGCTTGTCATTGTCTGGGGCTGATTAAGTCGATGGTTAATGTATCCTCCTTGTGTAACAGACAATAAATCGTCCTTTAATGTATCTAATTCGCTTTTAAATTTACTAATGTTTTCCATTTGTACTTCTTGCCACTGTTGTTGACTTTCCTGTAGTTGCTGCTGACTTTCTTCCTGTTTCCTTTCTTGTTCTAGTTGCCACTGCTGTAATTTCTCTTGTTTCTTTTCTCATACTTCTTGTTTCTTTTCTTTTTCCTCCAACAACTGCTGTAATTTCTCTTCTTGTTTCTTTTCTTTTTCCTCCAACAACTGCTGTAATCTCTCTTCTTGTTTCTTTTCATTTTCCTTCAACAACTGCTGTAATCTCTCTTCTTGTTTCTTTTGCTGCTCTTGTATTGCTGCTCTTGTATTGCTGCCATCAAATCTGCTAAGCTGTAGTTTGATTTACCGCTTCTCGTTTCCATTTTTTTGTCCCACTCTCTGACACCAATTTGTTACGCCTCCGTTCGTTAGTTAATTTTCCGTAAAAATTCTTTCCGAAGAAACTTTGCCGATACAAGTCCTTTCTTACATAAAACTGCTTTATTCTTTCTGAATACAACTTTGCGATACACTTAATTTCAACAGTCGCGCTATAACAAACGCTATAATTCACAACGAACATCTCATGCTCCATTCAACATTACTCTGTCGCAGTTCAATTACACATTGTTGCGTCACTTTGTGACCGTCTTATATATACAAGACTACCG